CGCTATTGTCGAAACTAACCATCAAGAACAGTTTTCTCTTAACGTGTGGCTCGGAGTTATTGGGGATGATGTAATTGGGCCTCATTTTCTCCCTCCTCGATTAAATGGTGAGGCATACGTTCAATTTTTAAGAGAAGTGCATCCAGTACTGCTGGAGGAAGTTCCTTTGGACGTCAGAAGGGATATGTTTTTATGCGTGATGGGGCTTCCGCTTATTTTAGTCAAGTAGCACGTAAGCATTCGAGTGAAACATATGCAAATCAGTGGATAAGTCGAGGAGGACCACAGAACTGGCCCGCTCGAACCCCGGATCTCAATCCTCTTGATTTCTCTATTTGGGGCCATTTACAGCATTAGGTTCATCGTACTCCTGTTCGCGATGTAGAGGACTTAAGAAACCGTATCATCGATGCGTGCAGGGTAATCAGAGAGACCCTGATTTAACATTTACTATGATTTCCACATGTTGTGTGTTTTGTTATTAATAAATTAGTTTTGTTTATTACTCTTCAATCGTTTAATGCAGGTGCTAACTACAAAATAACAATAAATCCAGTTCGCATTTATGACGATGTATCGCTGTAGTTGTTGGTAAAATATTTTTTTGCTGCGAACTGGTTTATTTTTGGCAAAAAACCCAAGAGACATTTTTTTGTTTAAAATGAAACAGGGTATCGGAAATAATTTTTTAAATGGTAAACAAATAATAAGACAAAAAGTTACATTGGAAATAAATTTTAGGGGTTGCGTTTTCCACCCTTTACAACCATGGGGTAAACCCAATAAATTTCTGGCTAAATGTCTTTTTGGTAGTATAAAACGTCAGGTTAATTTTAATATTGTAACTTTTTTAGTGCTTGTGAAAAAAGATGTTATACAAATTTTATGTACCCCCTTCAAGGGGCTGTATCTCAACAAGGGATGCTCCAATGAAATTTCTTTATATGACCTCTTTTAATGTTTTACATTTATTCAGTTACACTTTGTATAACTATAAAGCGTTATAGTTGCCTATACAGCGAAAGAATTGAAAAATGTTGAAGTGACAGTAGAGAGTTCCAATTCTGAGCAAGCGTATGGAATTGGAAATCGACCAACTTTTTTAAAGCATTTTTCTAAATTTCAAAAATTGATTTTTTGGGCATCTTCGATGAAAATGTCAAATTTGACAGGTTCAGAGTAGTACACGACAAAAGGAAAAAGGCTGTTTTCTACTCATTTTTCAAGAAAAAACTAACAGCAGAGTCAAATTTTCGTTATATCTTTTGATAGAATATTATGTGTATGGGGCTAATTATTCTATGCACATACACTGTATCTACTGACCTATTAGGACCATAATCAACACGTATGCAGTCTCAAATTGTTTTTTCAGATATCCTATTTATAATTTCAGGAATCAGCGAGGAAGACCGGAAATGTCTGATCAAAAATGTCAGTATCATATTTCACTCTGCAGCTTCTGTGAGATTTGACGATCATCTCAAAGACGCCATCTTCACCAACGTGAGAAGTACCAGAGAAATCATAACCTTGGCTTCTGAAATGAAATCACTAGAAGTATTCGTTCACGTCTCCACACTGTATGCTAATGCCGATAATAAGGTTCTGGAGGAGAAATTATATCCCAGATATGATTGGCGAGACGCAATTTTCTTGGCTGAAAATTGCGATGAAGGAGTTATGGAAGTGATGACACAAAAAATAATCCATCCACTCCCGAATACATACACTTTCACGAAATCAGTTGCAGAATTGCTTGTTGATGACTTGTGCAAGAACAAATTTCCCACAGTCATTATAAGACCTTCTATTGGTAAGTTCAATGGTATCGAAATAGAAAAACAATGAACTGTTATTCATGATGATGAATTTTCATGATATTAATTTATTTCCAAAACATGTTGTCCTACAAAGTAGCATCCTGAGTTATTCTGGTACTCTAAACTAACTAAGAATGCAATTTATACAAATTATCTGAGTTAATGTTTTGATTGGCTTAACCAAAGAAGACTACAGCTTTTTGCGGTAGTCTTCGTTGGTTACAATCTCAAAACTTTACAGCTGCAACTGTGGCAATCATCTTCAGTGGCATGGTCGAAGTACTCATCTTGGCGTGTAGACTAGAATTGAAGCTTTGTTCGTGTCATCTTCGTATTCATCTGATTGGAGACCAGCTCCCCTACCCTTTTGGCTGATTATTGACCTTGAGAGGGGCCAATGGGTACACAACTGATAGATGACGGCATGAAGTCCTTAGACATCAGTGCCGCCCTTCACGGGATACCCCTACCTGGCTGGGGTGGGATGGATGAAAAAGTTATTCATCCNCTGAGTTATTCTGGTACTCTAAACTAACTAAGAATGCAATTTATACAAATTATCTGAGTTAATGTTTTGATTGGCTTAACCAAAGAAGACTACAGCTTTTTGCGGTAGTCTTCGTTGGTTACAATCTCAACTGTGGCAATCATCTTCAGTGGCATGGTCGAAGTACTCATCTTGGCGTGTAGACTAGAATTCAAGCTTTGTTCGTGTCATCTTCGTATTCATCTGGTTGGAGACCAGCTCCCCTACCCTTTTGGCTGATTATTGGCCTTGAGAGGGGCCAATGGGTACACAACTGATAGATGACGGCATGAAATCCTTAGACATCAGTGCCGCCCTTCACGGGATACCCCTACCTGGCTGGGGTGGGATGGGTGAAAAAGTTGTTCATCCGTTAACGGGGGACATGAGGGCCTTATCCGACAGAGTGTCGCGGTCCTCTGTATCGTGAAGGGTCGTCTACAGCATAATCTATGGCTTCTACAACTAACGGATTTTCATGAGTTTCCGCACTATCAAAAACCCGCCAATTCCTCGACTGAATGGACTACTTGATGAAAGGCAGCTGCAAATCTCTGCGGATGACTTCATTTCGCATGAACCAAGGAGCATTCACAATCATCCTTCGTCAGTGATGTGACAATACCTTCTATTTTCCTTTGACATGATTTTACAGAAATCGGTAAAAATGTGTGGTATTATCCTGACAATATCGATTCCAAGTTTTTTTCTGTAAATATACCATTCAAAAAGGAAATAAAACTCAGAACATTTATATTTTCATGTATTTTCAAAATTTTTAGTATTCATAATCAACATAGGAGATATTGCGCCTGGAAATATTGAAGTTAGGTTAGGGAGACGTTAAAGTTGCTATTGTGTTTTTATTCAACTCAGTCAACCAATTGCCAGGGCCGTAATTCAAAAGGGAATAATTTACACAATTATAATTGAATATTACCGAAAAATCCCGAAATATAAAATTGAATTCAATTTCTCAGTATCAAATGTACGTCTACGATCCAAACACTACAACAAAAAATACAGGTCCGTATTAAAAAATTCAAAGATGGGATGGCCCAAGTCAGATGACACCCTGTAAAAAAGATTCATGGATATATTCTGAGAGTCCTCATCAAATGCCAACAGCAAAATGTGGACAGATTTTCAATATGTCTGCGAATAAAGAAGATACAGGCAAAAAAATAATTTGGGATTTTTTTGTTATTCCTGTATATCTCCAGAACCAAAAGAGGTATATTCGATTTCTTTACATCATTGAATAGGTCTCAAATACGCAACTTTGCCATAATTTAACCGACACTCTATCTCTTATCGTTTACGAGATCCTTATGTACAGAAACGAATTTGAATAGCCCTGTATATACCTTGGGTTGGTCGTGATTAGCCAGTTGAAGAAATACCTTCGAAACTATCACGTTATTTCTGTTTGTGAGGTTGCAGTCACTTTTGAGGATGTCAGGGAATAAGAAACACTCTTTGGTATTACGTCAAGCTTTCGGAAATATTTATTTTCTTCTTCAGGACTTATATCGTGAGTTTGAGAGAATCCAGTTCCTTCATAACAATGAAAACTTGTCGGTCATCTTATGTAGAAAACATGTAGATCTAATTTAGATTTCAATTTGCATTCAATTGAAGATTGAAACNTCTGAAGAGTTTTGTCACAGCAGCTCATGTTGTGGCCGGAAGTATTCACTTTCTTCCTTATGATTTCAGTTATAGGAATCTCATTGCTTTTGTAACAGTCGTATAATGTTTTTTTCAATGATTTTATCAGATGAACATCTGAAGATTTTGATATCCTGTATCACTTCATGTGGTCTCAACGTGAAGTTGAGAAAGGAATTTAGGTCAAATCTAATGCTTTCTGTGTTCCAATATTCAAATGCATTCGAATATTATTCACTGGTATCTCTTTTTCGCATTTTTCACCATCGCTATTGAAATCACTACACTGGAAAAGTCTGCTTTCTTATCACACTCGTTATTACTAGTACTACTCGCCCAAGGAAGCCACATTTTGAATAGATAACGAAAATTTTAAGTAATTATAACTGCACCAATATCGAATTCCAAAACTCAAATCTGGATAAGTTTCTGAACCAAACATTGATGACACGGCGGCGATAACCGTTCCCGCATTCCCTGATTTCTATTCGTCACCCTTATATGACTTCAAATTAGATTTTATGAATTTTTTGACAATCATAAAACTCGGTTAGAAAAATTACCCAATACGAACCGCCAATTCTACAGTCCACGACTAGTTCGCAGCCGGTTTATTTCTATGTATTGGTTTTTTTGGCCTTTGAGAGTTCCGCGAACTTTAAGTGTACCCAATATCGTTTATTTCGACTATACCAATGGTTTTTTTCGTCTGACCCATATAGACTTTATCACAGTTACATGAAATCTTGTACACTTCCGATGGTTTTAGTGGTTCTCTGCTGTTTGATCGTAGATACTTCGATATTTCCTTCGTTGGTTTGAAGACGATGGTGACACTGTCTATGTCTGGCAGGTATACAGTGCCATGGGGTTGAAAAGTTATCAGAGACCCACTCAAATCAGAAATGAAAATTAAAAATTAAAGATTCTAAACCAAGTTACTACACGACGTTTCGATTGTTAGTATCCACAATTGTCTTCAGGTGATAACTGTTATCACCTGAAGGCCCTTCAATGATGTAGTTGACTTGGTGATGTTCAGGAAAACGTCTAGAACTCTTTCTGTAGCTCAAACCATGAGTACCTTCTTCATTCACCTCACTACCACAAACACAACATTTTTGAGGAGAACAAATATCTAACCCAATCTGAGTCCGATGGCTACCCTAAAAGTATCATCACCTAATAACGTTCCCAAAGTAGCAATAGGTTATGCGTTCAACCAAGAACCATATTCTTCAATATTGACGGCTTGGAAGCGAGCTTTTTCATATAGAGAGAACGAGGATGAAGTGATGGAGACAGAAGCAACATCCAGTGAAGGTTGGTTTGTTAACACCAGATAAATCCGCCTTCGACGGCTAAGTCATCTATTATATTGGTGAAAGAAGTATCATTTCTATCAATTGCGAAACATTGTTGATGAAAGACATAAATGCTGGTGAAGCCAGCGTTGACACTGAGCGCAGACCCAATCCTCCGCGATTTACTGGCAATGTAGTTTGAGACCAAGAAATATCAGTGAAACAGCTGTTGGTAACGTGGGCATCAAACTTCCTAAGGTGTACTTAACTTTTCCAGCAAGCAGAACATCTAAAAGTGAACAGTAGTTTGGGAATGAAACAATGGTTCAGTAAGAAAAAGGAAGTATACATTGCCAAATCGTATAAATGGGTGGAAATTGAGTCAAAGGAATCTATTTTGTTCTGTAGACTTCTACAAAGAGCTTCCATAGTGAGGAGGTCGCGAAGTGGTGTTGCCATTTCCATTTTTGATGAGTTTTATACCATATAATTATTATTCAAATTTTAAACCTGTTACGAACCTTCTTGTTTCTTGTAATCAATGAAAATAAGAAAAACCCATATCAAAAATCTAACATAATAAGGGGCATTATTAGGCAAATATTATTTTCTGGTGGTATACTTTTTTTGGATCGAAAGTGCATTAT